GTCCCGCTCTCGGCAGGCCCGGCACCCCCTGCCCCGCCCCGTCCCGCACTCGCCCTCCGGTAAGCGGGCGGGATGGGGGGAGGACGTTACTGGTGCCGCGCAGGGTCACCCGCCTGGGCGCACCTCCAAGGCCCAGTGCCCCCGCGCCTAGAACCACCGGTGAGGCAGTCTCCCGGAGCGACCAGCGTCATCCCGCGTGCTCAGAGCGGCCCTGGTACTTTACAGTTTTTGGCCTGTTACCCGTCGCAGTCCAGTGAGGTGACCGCCTTGTCTCCACCTCACGGAGAGGAAATGGAGGCACTGTCACAGCCGGTGGGTGGCAGAGCCGGGATTCGAACCCGTGGACACTGGGTCCATGGCGGCCCCTAGCTCTGACTTCCCAGGAAGAAGCAAAGGGCCTGCTGATGTGCCCTCCCAGGAGTTCTCATTAGTGTCAGGGCAGCAGGAGGTGGGGGATCTGACGCCACGTGATTGGCATCTGCCTTAGGTTGCATCTGGTCCATCAACTTGAAAAACGCATGGAGCACGGTGTGTGTGTCCAAAATCTTGACAGGATGGAGACTTGGAGACGCGACTGCGGTGTGACCACATCCCCAGAGCAGGGGGTCTGAGCTTGGGTGTGACCATGCCCCCAGTGCAGGGGGTCTGAGATTGGGTGTGACCACGCCCCCAGAGCACCAGGTCTGAGGGCCCTGGTCCAGGAACGAGTGGGATTGGATGGGAGAAGGAAAGGGAGAGGCCAGGGATGTTGGGGGCAGGCCTGTCACACTCCCAAGGACTGGCTCTACAGTTAGCCTGAGGACGCTTGGTCGCCTGGTCACCGATGACAGCTTGCTCACCGTGACAGCTTGCTAAAATGAAGGTCGAAGGGGCAGGATGAAGTCTCCAAGGCCTAGCTGCAGTGGGGCCCTGGCAGTGGGAGTGAGGGGGCCAACCATGCTCATGTGGCTGGCAGCCCTGGAAGCCTGCCCGCTCCTAGACGGCTTGGCAGCATGGCTTCCCTCTTAAGTTCATCGTGACAGTAGGGGATCAGTGAAAATGTGGGAAGCAGGAAAGGTAACCAGTCCTTTCACTCGGGCAGCCGTCAGTACTTTTTTCCTTTTTTTTACATCGAGATCATTCATACGGTGTGCTATTTTGTATGCGGAGTTTTCATTTAACAATATAATCGCTGCGTCTTCTATAGAAAGCTTCATAAACATCCCCTAGGTTGGCCCAGTGCCCTGCCTACATCTGTCATGCAGAGGGAATATTGTGGCTTAGGTCTCAGACCTTGGTCTGTAAGTGTTGCCTGGCTGTGAAATTCTCGGCCGCAGTGCTAAGGGCTGGGTCATACTTTGTGCTGTCACCTGTGGCAGGCACGAGAGGAGGCGGGTGTGACTGTCTGCTTGTCTTTCCTTAGGGACTGCTGGCTCTCGGCTGGGGTATTGGGAATAGGTCTCGCACCAGCCCTGGGAGAGCCGCTGTCTGAGCCCCAGAGGCACCTGCGTTCCCGCACAGGCACCACCAGGCCACCCAGACTTCTGTCTCATGGAGCCTCTGGGTGAGAAGCAGGGAGAGGCGGAGGGGCCGCGCATCACGCCCCAGCTGCTGAAGGCGCGCACGGGCGAGTTCGCCTTGGAGTCCATCCTGCTGCTGAAGCTGCGGGGCCTGGGCCTTGTGGACCTGGGCTGTCTAGGAGAGTGCCTGGGCCTCGAATGGCTGGATCTGTCCGGCAATGCGCTCACCCACCTGGGCCCGCTGGCATCCCTGCGCCAGCTGGCAGTGCTCAACGTCTCCGACAACAGGCTCACAGGGCTGGAGCCGCTGGCGGCCTGCGAGAACCTGCAGAGTCTGAATGCCGCAGGCAACCTGCTGGCGGCTCCAGGCCAGCTGCAGTGCCTGGCCGGGCTGCGGCGCCTTGAGTACCTGCGGCTCAGGGACCCTCTGGCTCGGCTCAGCAACCCGCTGTGCTCCAGCCACTCTTACTGGACTGCAGTCCGGGAGCTGCTGCCCGGCCTGAAGGTCGTGGACGGGCAGCGGGTGACCGGGCGAGGCAGTGAGCTCTACCAGCTGTGCCGAGACCTGGACAGCTCCTTGCGGCCCAGCTCCAGCCCAGGCCCCAGGGCCACGGAGGCACAGCCCTGGGTGGAGCCGGGGTACTGGGAGTCCTGGCCCACCCGGAGCAGCTCCATCCTGGAGGAGGCCTGCCGACAGTTCCAGGACACACTGCAGGAGTGCCACGACCTGGACCGCCAGGCCAACGACAGCCTGGCCCAGGCCGAGCAGGCGCTCAGTCCGGCGGGCACCACTGCTTCCTTTGTCTTTTGAGGGTGCCGTGTGGCCCAGGCCATCCTGGTGGGGGCCCCCGCTGCCCACCTTTCTCCTCCCCTCCTCTGTGCTTGGTTTCCTGGTTCTTCATGCTGATCCCTGGCCCCGGAAACGGCTGTCATATATCCCTGTCCAGAGAGCAGCCCCTACTGCAAGGACCCACCTCCGGAGTGGCCTCCAGCAGGCCCCAGGCTCTCCAGAGGCAGCTGGCACGTGCACTGTGTGGCCAGGGAGGGGCTGTGCCAAGCCTGTGCCCACTGCTGCTGCCTCTCCTGGTTGTCCCAGCCTGAGACTTGTCAGAAGGGATCACTTCCTCAGGCCAAAGGTGAGACAGGGAGGAGGAGAGCGGGGCCAGGTCATTCCTGGATGCTGGAGCTCATCTGCCTTCCAGATGTGCCCCTCTAGGCCATCTGCTGCCCCCGGGCACCCTCTGCTGCTCTCACCAGCCAGTGCCGATTAAACAGTCCTGTTCACATCTGCATCCTGCCTGTCCGGTCCTGCATGAGGGGCTCCACTCACCCTCGCTCGTCCTGGGTGTCCGACAGGAAGGCCCTGCACCCCTGCCTTCCCTCAGGTAGCTGGCCTCCCACAGGCAGAGCTGAGGAAAGGTGGGAAACGGAGCGGAGAGGACACGGCTCGGACAGCAACTTTATTAGCCGGGATATAATGGCCTGTCTTCCTGGGAGGGCAGGTCTTCCACTGCTCGTCTCCTGGAGCTGTACAGGAAACGGGGTGCCGTTCTAGAGAAGAGGAAAGTGGATCTGGGAGATGGGAGACGTCTGTGCTAGCCCACGCTCTGTCCCCAGGCCACCCTGCTCCAGAGCTTGTCCGCCTGGCCACCTACCAGTCCAGGGCTCAGCCATGGGGCAGGGCCTTGGAGAAGGCAAACTGTCCCGGGAAGTAGTAGCTGTGGGGGTCCTCGCCGGCGCGCTCCACCCTGCTGCACTGCGACTCCTGGTGCAGCTCCGCGGACTCCTGCGAGTTCAGGCAGTGCTGGAGGGCTGCCAGTGTGCCGGGCAGCGTGCCTCTGTGCTCCCAGGGAGTGTCTGGGCTGCCCGAGCCCCCTCCATCCAGGCCCAACTTCCCACCTCCCCAGCCTCTTCGGCTCTGCCCTACCCCTTACCCGTGGAGCCTGCGTCTGTATGGGGCAGTGGACCATCCGGCCCAGAACTTTGCTCTTGGAGTCCAGCTTGATGCAGGCCAGGCATTTCCGCTTCCTCTGAGGAGGGGAGTATGGCAGAGTGAGGGAGGACAGGGATGAGGGAGGCAAGCAGCACGTGAGGGTGGGAGCTGGGGCCACCTGCCAAAGGGACCCTGGGTGGTGGAACAAGGGGTCACGCTGCCAGCTGGTTAGGGCACAGCCTGCCTGAACTCTGGAAAGTGGCAGAAGCTGAACAACCCTGCAGTTTTCACTGGGACCTTAGCACGCGTGTGTATAGGCAGGAGTCCCCAGATTGTGTGTGTGTGTGTGTGTGTGTGTGTGTGTGTGATATTTCAAGGCATGGATCCTACCCAGATGGGGTCTCCCAGCCCGACTTCCACCAGAGCCAATCCCCTGTCATCTACTTCATTTGTTTACATTTTCTTACAAGGTTTGAGCCGAAGCTTGGTGGCAGTAGTGTGAATGGACACTGGTCCCCGAGCTGAGGCCACCCTAGGAGCTGGGCGCAGTGTCCAGGCCCATGATGGCAGCCACTCGGAGGCAGGGTCAGGAGAATGGCAGTGCAGCAGGCCTGCCTAGGTTCCCACACCCAGTGTGTCACTGGTACACACATCCACACGGGAACAAGAGGCCCTGGAGCCAAGAGGCTCGCAGTCATACAACCCAGCCCCTCCCCTAGCTTGGGAGAGGAGCCGAGGCCTTCTCGGAACCCGGAGCCCAGGGCTGGAGCTCGCAGAGCCAGACCCAGAGCCCAGGCGGCTGCACACCTGCCTGAGGAGCGCTTTGCCCAGGGCAGCCGTGTTGCCCCCAGGTGGCGAAGGCAGTTGCATGCTTCTGGGGATCACCCAGGCTAGCCACCCCCACTTGGTGGCCAGGCAGGGGCCAGAAATGCTTCCCTTGGGCTTTCAGTGGCAACCTGAGCCAGGAGGGACCCCGACCCTCCTTCCCAGGCCCAGCCCACCAGCCACCCTCCGACTGGAGCCAACTGACCCCATTCCACTTTAGGGGTGCCTCATGGTGGGTCTCCCACCAAGCCCCATTTCCTTGCACACCCACCCAACGTGTGCCCATCACACACTCACACCCATGACTCATCAAACACACATGAACGTGAGCATGTGCCCCCTTAGACACACATAGACCCCTAGTATAACCCACTGCACACACATGAACACCCAACATGTGCTCCCTCACACATACCCAACATGTACCCCATCACACACATGCATGACTGTCACACACGTACACCCAACAGGTACCCCATCACACACACACTCATGACCATCGCACACATATGCCCAGCATGTGCCCTTCACACCTGTACCCCTTCACTCACCCCACTGGGCTTGACTTTGCACTCGGGTTTCTTCCAGTCTTTCTTCCGGCAACTAGTCTGCTGGAGCTTAAATTCCAGCCTCACAAAAGTCCCCGCTGGGAGGGGCTGCCAACAGACAGACAGACACACACAGAGGCAGCTGGGCAGCAAGAACCCTGGTGATTCACCCCTCCCCCAGGTCACTCAGCACACTAGAGTGGCTGGGGTGTCTTCACAGTGCTCTGACCCTCCCTCATAGACCCAGCCTCTCAACCACCCTCAACACCCCACTCTACTGCTGGAGGTGCTTCCCAGTGGGATCTCCATCCCCTCTTCTCTGGAGAAAGGGCTTGGTGCTCCCAGAGCCCAACCATTCTGGGCCAGCTTCCTGGGGACAAGCTGGTCCCCAGGGAGCAGCCCTGCCCTCCCACACCAGGGCTGAGCCACTAACCGTGTCCATGGCACTGTCCACACTGGTCTTCTGGAAGGCCCACTGCACAGGCGGGTGCTTGTGGAATTCCTCCAGGGCCACCTGCAGGGCCTGGTGCTGGAGCTCCGTGAGCTCGGCCCTGCCCAAGCCCACTGTGCCCAGCCACAGGGCCAGTGGGATCGACAGCTGCCACATGGCTTCACGTCGTTGGTCACCAGGGCCCTGCAAAGAGTGTGCCGTGGGTCCTAGGCCATTTCTGCCAGCCTGGGAGCCCCCTCCTCCTCAGCCCTGCCTTTGGGGGGCCAGGCCTGGCAGAGTTCGGCAGAGGTGGGGGATCGGAGTGAAAGGATCCTTTCCTGAAAGCGCTGAGTGTGCCCGGTCCTTTTGCTCTCTCCCACCCTGACCCACTGCCCCCTGGGGTGAGCGGTTTGAGCAAAGTTCCTTCCAAAGGCCTGGGAAGCAGTCCTAGTGCCCTTCGCCCCTTTCTGGCTCATCTGCCCCACGGAGATGCCTCCTCCCAGCTGCCAGCCTCTCCTCCCTGACCTTCTTCCTCCCTAGTCGCAGTCCCAGTCCGGACTCCCTGAGGTCCTGCAGGCCGTTGGTCCCTCCAGTTGGGGAGAGTTGGGCAGGGCTGAGGAGAGCCTGTGGGAGACTGAATATTTTTGGGGTGGACGTAAACACGTGGGAGGGGCCCAGTGGGGAGGGAACTGCAGGATGCTTAACCCTTGGGGCACCACGCTGCCTAGCCAGCCACGCTGTCCCTGGCACCAGAAATCGGGGGGCTGCCTCAGCCCAGCAGGGAGCCTCCTTCCTTCAGGCAGAGCCTCCCTCCCTCACACTTTATCTGAGATCTTCCCCAAGACCCCTGTCCCCGGCCCTGAACCCATGTCTGGGGTTACCTGATGTGTGACAGTCCCCAAGAAGCCTGCCTGTACCAGTGGCCTTAGGGGTAGAAAGCTACAGATGGGGAAACTGAGGCCCTCAGTGAAAAGATGCCAGGGCTGCTGCCAAAGCCAGGGCTCTGCAGGTCCCCCGTCCACTCTGAGGCGCAGGGAGCAGCTGGCCTTCAACTCCTGCCCTGCTGGCTGGCTGCCCGCTGCCTGCTCACCCATCCTGGCCCCCTGTGCCTCTCTCCTAACTTTCTCCCTGAAACTTCCACTCCCCTCAGCCTGTCCCGCCCACCCCCAAGCCCACCACCTGGGCCCCCTGGGCAACTCTGGTTTTGCTTGACTGAGTTAGGCCGGCCTCCAGGCTGTCAGGATGCCCAGGTCTTCAAAGAGGGGATCCAGGTGAAATAAGGCCACCAGGTGGGCCTGAGGTCGTATGCTGGCGTCAGTGTAAGAGGAGTCAGGACAGGAGGACAGAGGAGCCCAGCAGAGGGGCCTCAGCAGGCACCAGCCCTGCCCACACCTGCCGCTCAGACTCCCTGGTCCAGATCTGAGAGAAACTGCATTTCTCATGTCTAACCACCTGGACTAGGGCAGACTCACACGTGCACACTCAGGAGCTCCTTTGCTAAGGCCTGGAGCTGTCGGCGTCCTAGTGGGAGGCCAGGCTCCTGTCTGTGGCAGTCAGCAGAGGTGCTTTGTGAGCAAAAGGAGGTGGACCGCAATCGGGACCGAGGAAAAGAAAGGGCCTGTTGAGGACGGCCATCTGAATCCCATCCTTACCTAGAGAACAGGCAGAAACCGGGATGCCGCCTGCGTGTGGCGGGAGAAGCTCAGGTCTGGGCGGACGTGCCTTTGTGTTAACGTAAGAGGACTGGCGAACACTTTCAAGGGCACTCAACGACCTCCTGAGAGGAACGTGCACCTTTCTGATAATTACAGAAAGTGCATAGTAAACGTCAGCCAGGTGAGTGGAAAACACTGCTCTAGCTCCAAGTGGTCAGAATGCAAATTCCAAGCTGACCAGCTCCCATTAGGAGCTCATTAAACCCCAGGAGAGGATCTACCACTAGATGGGGATGCGGAGTCAATTTTGCCTTCAATTTTACAGTCCTGTGGTGTATTTAATTCGCTAGAGGGCACCCGTGCTCCCGGTACAGAGTGAAAGGGGAAGTGAGAAAGCATCCCTGGGGGATGGTCAGGCTGCGATCTCTTTTCCCTTATCTCTTCCTCCTTTGGTGATTTTGGGCCCACATGCACATGCACCTACTGTGTTTTTCAGGCTGCCAGGTCCAGGACTTGAACCTGGGAATCTGCTGTGCGAGATACACGGCTGTTAACCACCATGCTACCAGCTGGCTTCTATAGTTTTTCAAATAACAAGGCTGTGTTATTTTTATATGCTGGCATCATCACTTGGTGGCTTGTGGTTTAACTCCACGTACTCATTTTTGCTCCACTGTGACCAAAAATCATGCCAATTTGTTTAATTAGTTTTATGAACTGTATGCATATTTGTTAGAACTGTAAACCAGGGCTGGCCTGGCCCTACAGTGCAGCGGATCAACACCATGCAGAGGAATTGGGTTTCACATAGCTAACCAGGGTCGGAGTCTCAGCCCCAGCAGCTTGGAAAACCCGCTGGTCACATGCAGGTGCACAGGATCCCGATGGACTGGAGATTGGAGGGAAAAGGATTGCAGCGAGACCGGGCCCCACAGGAGGGTGCCCTCTCTTTCTCTCTGTTGGGCACACGTGTACCCTCTGACATAATAAAAAAAAAAAAAGAACTGTCAGCCAGTGCAGGGCACAGATGGCCAGCAGCACCTCAGCCAGAAGACAGCACTTGGGGCAGTTTGGATGCCGTGAAATGAAATGCTTTCCAAATGCTCTTTTGAAAATTAAAATTTTAGAATATTATTAAATATACTATGTAATATTATATTATTTATTATAGTACAGTATGTAATTATATGTTACAATTACATAGTAGATTTACATAATATATATGCATTATATATCATAACACATTGCATAGGTTATATGTTATATGATTATGTTATACATTATAATATATTAATATACACTTAGTGTATTATTTAATTGTTTTAAAAATATATATTTAAATTTGCCAAGGGACACACGCACTCACCAGAGAGAGACAGAGACAGAGTGAGTGAGAGCACTCTGATGAGACGTGGTCACAGCCCAATTCCTTCTCCAGTTCTCCATCCTGTCGGGGTTCTGAGTGTGCACACACACTTGCCAGGTGGAGTTTTCAAGCCACCAGGGGTGGGATTCAAACTGTGCAATCAGCCATGCGGGATCTGGCTACTTTAACCACTAGACCATAGGTCCAGGACCATATTATTTGTTGAATGTAGTAGTCGAACATGTTCTTCCGTTGTAACTTTAGATAACCTTCAGAAAATAAGCCTTCTTCAATCCTGTTACTAAGACAGTCTCCTCTCATGGTTCGGGAAGATGAGGCAGGCCAAGCTGCCGTGACGGGGTGGTGCACCCTGTGGTGCCAGAAACCATATAGCGACAGCTGTCTGGAGCCTGGTCTGGCTTGAAAACCATGTCAGGCACATATGAGGGAGCCTGGGGTCCTGAGGACAGGGATCGTAGTTGGAGAGATCCTCTCGAGGGTGCTGCCTTTCTCTCCCAGGTGCACTTTCTATAAGAAAGGAAGAAAGGAAGGTAGACAGGAAAAAATGCGAGGAAGGCAGGAAGAAGGGAGGGAGCAAAAAAGGAAAGAGAAGAAAGGAAGGAAGAAGAAAGAAAGAAAGAGAAGAGAGGAAGAAAGGAAGAAAAAGACGGCATACCAGTTATGGGGACATTCGAGATTCCCCTGGCCGACTCCGAAGGCACCGAGTTTAACTGTGACCCAGTTTCGGTCTGGGAAGCAGATTAGAAGCTGCAGACTTGGAGCCAGGTTTTCACTGAATTCTCCGAGTCACCCAAGCGGTCCCATGGGGACGGAGTCCGGGCAGGAATGAGCGAAGGTTAGTTTCAGTTATCTGGTAAATGTGTGCAGATGGGGTTCATGAACAGAAAACAAACAGGAAACAGGAAACAGAGCACTCGACCACGCACCTGCCCTTTGCGCTCCACCGCAGACTGCAGGGGTTCACTTCAGAATGTCCTCGCATTTCCAGACCAAGCGCTGCTTTTAGTGCGTATCAAACCAAGAACAAAAACACACTGGCGTCCCGTTCATCTTCTGAACAAAGTCGACAGGGATCAGTTTGGAGCGTGCTGCAGTTCGAATGTGCTCCTCCGCAGTTTGTGTGTTAGAACTGGGTTGTCTTCTGAAAGGATTGAGAGGAGACTTAATCTAATTATGGTGTTGAAAAATGGGACCATTCTGGGAAGTGATTAAGCATTAGTGTGGGGACCTCCTGAGTCCTGGTGGGTTTATAAGGAGAGGGAGTGAGACCACCACATGACACACTCTGCTTGGCTCATTCTCTTGCCTGTTGAATGTGAAGCCCTCTGCCACGTTAGCGATCAGATGGAAGACCTTCGCCAGACACAGCCCCTCGCTCTCGGGCCTCCAACCATGAGCTCAATAAACCTCAATTCTTATAGGCCCCTCAGTTTTGGGTATTCTCAGTTATTAGCGACAGGACAGACTAGAACAGAGTAAAAAGAGATAGTACTGTAAGAGCAGATGGAGTTTGACCTTGGGCGGGTTACAGCATAGATTTCTGATGAAAGTCAAGCCTTTTCTCTCTTGGCTGAGGCACTGAAATGATTTGTCGCAGCTTTTTCCTGGCAATGTGTGGTCCCAGGATCAGATCACCAAACGACCGGGCGGTATGTGTGCTCACCAGGGAGCAGAGGCGGAAGGCCCCTGAAGATGTTTGCATTTCAGTTATTCTAACTGAAATAATGTTCCAGGTCGAAGAGTATGTTCAAGACGCTGCTACCGCCCATCAGAGTCGAAGGAGGAGTGATGTGTGTTCGGGTGATCTCTGCAGTGTTAGGGTGGCCTTGGTGGTGGGCCGTGGAGACTTCACAGACTTAGAGAGAAAGCAGAGAGGAAAGAATGAACTCACTCTCTGACAGTTAGACGCGTCCAGATGTGAGGAGCTGCATCAGTCCTGAAACGCAGGGCAAGGAGCTGTCACTGGGACCTAAGGAAAGGAGGGATTATTGGGGGGGGGGTCCTGGCACGGGAAAGCTGTCGGCCCTCGGGTTGTCCTGATGCTCTCTCTGGATGTCTTATCTGGCTGCAGTAATCTGCCATGTAGCCTATCATTAGTTTTGGTGCCAGCTGTTGATGGATGTTACAGTCTTTATGTCTGAAGGCAAGGACTTAGAAAATTCCAGGTCAAAGTCAAGAAAGGATGAACTAACTTGGGAAGAAAGAAGGAGGAGGAGAAAGAATGTCTGCAGCATCTGGGAGGTTTGGGGGGCCTTTCAGGTTAAAATACCCAAGATGCCAGGTAGACACCGAGTTAACTCTTTTCACCCCCAAAGCACTTGGAGAACAGTTAACCTTTTCAAAGTGGATTCATGTTTTCTTCAAGTCCCTTCGCCTCGCTCCTGTCTGATGTGAGTAGAGGTGTACTCTCACTGCACGTCCTACCAGATTCTCTGCCTGCTTAACCAGCAGCCGCCAGAGGAAGACAGCTCGATGATTACGGCTAAAAGCAGGGTCCCGCTGCTGCATAGACAATGGCCGGAGCTCAGCCTGATGGAGCGATGCACCACGGGACGGAGCGATGCACCATGGATGGAGCGAAACACGAGGCGGGAGGAAAGGCCAGCTGAGGTAGGCTTTCTAGCACTGGAATCGGGGTTCCAGGCTTCTGGGGGGAGGTTGTGAGGAGCAGAGGGAGGCTGCCAGAGGACCCCTAGGCAAACCACTGTTTGCCTTGTATGCAGGGAAGTCTCTCTGGGGACCTCAGAGCTCCTAGAATAGGCAGGCCCGTTTCTCTTACAAGAGGACGGCTCTTCAGAGCTGTTTGTGTGTGCAGTGGCTCTGAATAGCTATCTCAAAATATGCCGCAGGAGTGTATTTTGGGGCAGTATATTTTAGCCTCCTGCAGAATACATGCGAGCTGTGTTAGGCCAACAAGTTGGTGGTAATGTGTTTCCACTCGCCAGGAGACTCCTGGGGGTGGAAGCGGTTGTACAGGGCTGGGGAAGTGCGTTTAGGGAGAGGAGACTTGAGCTTGTCCCAGTAAAGGAAGCCCGGAAGCCCATGGAGACCTGGTGAGGATCGTCTAGACAGAAGGCTCAGAAACGCCAAGGGCCCTGCAGTGGAAACCGACGAGTGGCGGGCAGAGTGTCCTGCAGGAGCGCGGCGATGCAGGTGCAGTCAGAGGCCTGTGCAGCCAGCTGCGCCATCCTGTGCGGGGAGGCTGGGCAACGTAAGTAAAGCCAAAGCTTCTGACGACAACCGTCATCACACAACTGCAGCTGCCCTTCACGAATACTGCGGGCGAGGTCTGGCAGACTTCAGGGTGATTTTAAAGGCGAAATGTTGCCACTGGGGTGGGGGCTAACCAAAGCCTTAGACTGGCTGGGCCAGCTGGTGCCCTGCTGACTAAGGCGGCCACCTGGACCCCACACGGCCAACTGCATGGTCTGAGTCCCAGACTTGTGGGCTTGGAAAACACTCTGGGATGTGTGTGTGCGCGCGCGCGTGCCCAAGATCCCAAAAGGAGAGTGAGGAGAAGGGAGTGTGGCATGACTGCCTTCCACGGGATGTCTCCTCGCTTTCCTTCTCTGTCTCTGTGTTGAGCATGTACCCTCTAGCAAATTGAAAAACAAAACACTAAACTGAAACCCCCACGCTGGCCAGTGCCGTAGACGGGCCCTATGCATCCTAGGACCTCAGAGCTGGATGACAGTCACGTGTCCGCAGCCGAGGAGTCACCAGGCCGGGTACTCCTTGTAACTACTAGCGAAGAGGAAGGGAGAGATTTGTTTGGGCAAATAAAGATGTGCATTACCCCTCAGAAAGCCCGGCGAGGGTTAATAGCACCTTGAACTATTTTAGGTGCCTTATCTCAGGGGCCCAGTGTCAGAGAAGATGCGCTGGGAGGGCATGCGCCACAGTTGGTCACCTTCTGTGTGCCCGGGTTCAGCCTCCTAACTGCCACTCGGCCCCCAGTCAGAAACAAAGTGGGCCCCTTAATGTGTCCCTGTCACGGGCGGGGCCTTACAGGAAGCATGGCTGTTGAGATGCTCTTCACAACGTCCAGGCAAGCACTGCAGCTCCCCCACCACCACCACCACCAGGCTGGAGCTACCGAATATGGTTCATGTTTCAAAGGGTCAAACTGGGTAAGTGGGGACTGGGGTCTGTGGGCCAGAGTTGGGGATGGGGGCAGCAGCGCCCACGTAGCCCAGGTGGGTGAGTTGCCCGCGGCCACATGGCAGTGGGCAGCGGGAGGTCGGGAAGCCACACAGCTACGGCACGACTTGGCTAGCTTCCTCTGCCCGTAAGCTGAGCTGGCCGCCTGGTGTCCTCTTTACCAGGCCTATGCTTTTTCTTTTAGCGAAATGGACTCTGGGGAGTGGCTATGCAACAGAAAACTGTCCTGCGTGCAGTCTCAGACCGACACTCGATCTGAAGCCAGGGCTTCTCTTTCAGCCTTGGCCTTGCATGCATTATGCATGGTTTCATGCCTTTAAAGAGACTTCAGTGGCAGGAGTAAGGACACTTTGGTCTTCTCCTGAGGGATTTCCACGTGACCCAGCAAGCCTCCTTTCACCTTCAGGTTAAGTTGGGGGTCTTCCTCACTCATGCCCAGGCCGCCGTAGGACTTTCTCCTCAACTACCAACCAGCCTTTATCTGCCAGCTGCTTGCCTCCCCCGTGGTGGAGCTGGAGCAGACCTCTGTTACAAAGTCAGACGACAGGAAGCATGTTACATGTCTACTTCACATGTACATGGGAGACACCAGGACACGAGTGGTTCTCAGAGAGGTGGCTTATGGCGTATCTCCCACAAAAACCAGTGAATTTTTAGAAAAGTGACAAGGAAAAGGATTTTGGGTCTCTACTGGTGGCAGCGTGGGGGGAGGCAGACCGCTGGCAGATACAGGCCGGTTTGTAGTATTAAGATTCTCTGGGTGCCATCTCCAGGCTGATAAGGGTCTACGGCTGTCTCAGAGGTTAACCCTTGTTCTTGCTGGCAGAGACGGAGCAGATGCCCTTTGAGTGAATTCTTTCTCTTATTTTTTTGTTGGATCTTGTTATGACTTAAAAATTTTTTACTATTATTTACATTTAATTACTGTACCTCTTTACAGCATAAATTCTACTTTTTGGCCCATAGAGGAGGGCCAGCAAGCTGCTGCATCTGCTTCTTCCTGTTGTCTCTGCCTCGACAGTCCTTTGTATGTGGGGACAGCGCTGTGTGGTCTCCCCACTGCTTTCTGTTCATGTCCCGTGGCCGAGAAAGTGCAAGGGCTGGAGGGCTGTTTAGAGCTCGTCTCTGTAATATTGCAGGGTGAGGCACACCCGACGGATGGGCCCTCCTCAAGGCCAGTGCCGCCTCCTCAAACTCCCTGCAGACCCCTGGCGAGCAGATCAGTCAGTCTAGCAAACCTGCCTAAGGGCTGCTGTCCCCAGCAGGAGTTAAAGGTTATAATAATTAAAGTACATTCCATCAGCATGAAGTCTTCCTATCTCCTCTCCCTGAGCCCCTTCAGCAGCTCGCTGTGCAGAACTGATTCATGAGCTTTATTTTGTCCTTAGTTCTCTTTTTTCAAGTTTTGCTTTTGGGCATGTGGGCTCGAGGAGAGACACAGAGAGAGGGAAAGTGAGAGATCACCGCCTAGGGATGGCCATGCCATAATCCCTTCTCCAGTCTCCCCTTGGGATTTTGGACATGCACACACATGCTCCCGGGATGTTTTACAAGCTGCCGGGTCCTCTCGACATCTTTTCACGCTGTGGAAAACCAGCACAGACGCTTTCTGCCTGGTTCACCACGAGCCTCGGGACCTGGCACAGTAGCAGATGGTGGGTACTGACTGAATATCTGTCGGACGTTCGAGCAA